CCCAGGATCGCAATTCAACTTGCCCCATACGATGTTTTCAGATGATTGAGGTAGTTCCATGTCACAATCGACTGTTACTCGAATGCATTTTTCGTCGCTATCCCCCATTATCACTTCTGTATTTCTCCATCTAAGAATGCGTTTTTCTAAGTCAATTTTGAACCCATATTTTGTCAGAAAGTCGACACCTATTATGCATTCGTCGATGATATCCGCGACTAAGAATGAACCTTCAAATAACAAGTCGCCTAGCTGAACAGTACGGAGAATCTTTCCGTAGACTGGTGCTGTTCCTCCGGTAGCTGTTCGAAGGATGTATTTGTTAGAAGTCTCTTTCTTCAGATTGGGTACCAAATCAGATCTTAAAATCGATTTTGTTGCTCCGGTGTCGACTGTAATTACGCATTCTCGTTGATCAACTTTTCCGTTCAGCCATAAGTCGTTTCGATTTCGATGTAGTCTGGAAACGTTAATTACGGTACTGGGGGCGTCAATTCTACTAGCCAACCTCTGCCCCACAAAGTTGGCTTTTATTAGTTTTCCGCCCCTTCGTTAGAAGGGGCCGATCGTGATACGGGATCATCTTCTCTTCTTTTGCGCCATCTTGTCGCGCAATTTCGGCAGTAGTTATCTTTTAGGCGGTGTTTACAATCACGACGTAGATGGCCTTTTCCGCCACAAATCCAGCATTGGGGTACACCATGCTGTTGGGGTTCGCGTTTCACAATCACCTTCTGGCAAGAGCATTCTTCATGTACTTGGCGTAGACGTACGTCACTTTTTGATGCTTGCTTTGCCGATTCAAAAGTGAGACTGTGCGCAACGGCATCCTTGAGTTTTCGTTTATCTGACAAGAGAAGGGATTGCTTGAGTTCGGAATCACGAAGGGCTTTGATAAACGTATCCAGGGCAGTTTCGTCTCTGTGCTCGGGGTCTGATGTTGGATACGACAGCAATGTCAACCGTTCGATATCTTGTGCCAGCTGCTGAATGGATTCACCAGATCGTTGCGTTCTGTTTCTAAGTTGAGACCGATAAATCTGCTTCATGTGTTCTTCACCATAACGTAAATCCAACGCGCTAACCAGAACTTCATAGTTGAAGTGGTTCTCCGCCGGAATCGTCTGAAGAACCTCTGCTGCTGAACCTCGCAGGGCCAGTATCAGTGCTGTTGCTCGTTCTTTTCCGTTCCAACAGTTACTAGTTGCCGCTGCTTCGAACTGGGTTTTATAAACGTTCCAGGACATCTCTCCGTCAAATGCTGGTACCTTCAAAGTTCTTCCAGATGCGTGATCTAACGGCATGGCCATTTTTTTGGATTGCTCCAATTCT